CATTTTAACACAAATTAAATATAATAATAGGGTGTATAAGAGTCAATACACAATTAAATTATGTATTAATAAACGAAATATTACATGTTTCACTCTTAATATTAGATCCTTTTCAGATATTTACATATAAAGATGTTACCATGATTAAATATTGTCGAATGTGAAAAAAAATATCACAATCTCGTGTCGTACAATATTTAATTATGGTAACATTTTTATATGTAAATATCTGAAGAGAGTCTAATATTAAGACCGAAACATGTAATATTTCGTTTTTTAATATATAATTTAATTGTGTATTGACTCTTATATGCCTTATTATTATATTTAATTTGTATTATTATCAAGAGTCCTTCATTATTATTATTAATTTTACATTTTAACATAAAAATTAAAAATAACGAAATGTTATTTAATTTAAGGGATTAGGTTACCATTGCTCCTTCAATATCTAACAGTGTATTATGCAAAATTCTTATCGTATCTGTAAATATGTAGTATGAAGAAATTTGCCGCAAAGAAACTCATGAAAACGATGTTTCCAGTTGTAGTTTTAATGTCCATTTCTACCAATGTAGGTTAACTTTAATCTTGGTTTAACTTACTTTTTATCTTCTTCTATTTCTAAGAATTAGAAGAAGCTAAAGAATGAATTAACCTGAGATTAGAGTGTATCTACATTGGTAGAAATAGGCTTATATGGCGTAACTAATGTAGGATTATATAAAAAAAGTATATTATCATCTTTCATGGGTGGGATATTAAAAATATTGATTCCATTAGTATTTATTAACTTAATTGATTGAACTAATAACGTGGAATCAATTAAGTTGAAACTCGACCGTTGTTTGCGAGAAGTCTTTCATATTCTTTTCCAATTGATTTTCAATGTAAGAAGTGTATCCAATTCTACGAATTTTAATCTTTCGGTTTTCCGTTTGGAAAATTATTATTATTATTATTATAGTTATTCGGAAAACATTCGCGAAATTTGATATGACAGCGATGCTTTGATCTGGAGTATTTTGAGCTCACAGTGCGAATAAATATCAATACGTTCATTCGCATCCATGCACGTGTCCTAATTTTGGTCCCACGATACTCTCGCGACAGGTTTCATACCAGCCATCGACGCTGAATATTAAATAATTACTAAAATTTAGTGAATAATGTCTAGAGAAATTTCCCCATTATTCACGAAGATCTGCAGGTAGGCTCGACTTTCTTAATCCATGAAGTCGTTTAAATATCGGTAGATTATTTAAATGACCATGCCATCATGAGAAATTCTAAAATTGATACACCATCATCAGAAGACAGACAACCATTAATCACACAGATCATTTAGCCAATCACGAATACTAATGATACCCCTCACACTCATACACGGTAAATGTCTACATGGTCATTTGTCGAAAATCACGTAACCATGGAGCGGTAATTCCGCTCCGGTAAAAGTGGAGCGACTCTTGCTTCTAAAAAACGCGAATATATTGAGTTATCCTTATCCTCAAGTGGCGATACGTACGTCCTCATAATCCTCGCTTCAGCGTCATTCACGAGCAGTCTCGATGACTTCCGTGACTGCCAGGCATGTCTCCTTCTCTCGAGTCGTCTGGTCCTTGGTATCACCTTGGGCGCGACTACTCTAGCTGCAGCCAGGTGGAAGATCGCAGGTAATGATGAGCTTCGAGCACTACGTAACGATCACGCGCGCGATATCACTCACGGTCCCCTTCGGTTTACCGATTATTTCCGTACCGTGCATCGAAATCACCAAGCGAGCGCCTCGCTCCGTTTCGCGAGCCTCGCGCGCGCGCGCGCGACGCGGACGAGGAGGAACACGAGGAGGGAACGGCGGAGAGGAGCGAGTCAAGCGGACCACCGATCGAGTCCACCTGTTCACCAGCGATCGCTGCGATATCGATCGCTACTTGTCAACGAAACGCCTCACGATCGGAATCCCGGGATTCCGTCAAACTCGCCTCGTGGATACCATCAGTGTACTCTCAGGTACTCCTCCACGAGTACTACTCTCGCGCGATTACATGCACGACAGCCACTTTCGACCTTCCAGCGCGTACGGACGTCTTGGGTGACACCGTTTCGGCTGTCCGCCACCTGGAATGAGGTCTCGGCACTAAGCCAGGCAGCCTCGCGAGTCAGATCGGACCTGAATATCGCCACCTGCCTCCGTCGGCGTTCCAGGAAGGTCTGAGGTGAGAGGAACGGCCATTTTGAGGCACCAACGATGGATCGGTTCAGGTGGCGCTACAGTTGAAGAACCAACCTGCGTCCTACCTGCGTAACGGTCACTCTCCCGTGTGCACTCACCTGGCGAGGACCTGAGACCATCATTTACGATGATATACTACGACCAGATGTGCTCAGAATACATTCTTTTCCTTTTTTTTCTCTTTAAAAAAATAGAAATAAAAATTTTTATGCGTCAAGATCTTGTACCTAGAAGACCATTATCTGCTCGAAGAATTTTATTTAATTAATTAATATAATAATTGCATCGTTTCTCTCTGAAGGAGTTCCGGAAGAATTAGTAGTCCATAAAGTTTATTATGATTTCTGATCATATCAACATTGAAAGCAGCCGCGATGATAAAGGATCTTCTAATTATAGATAAGAATATGTTAAAACATATAAAAAGTATATCGCTTATAGTTTCATGCAAATGATATTATAATATACTAAGAATAACTGTATAATTTATTTGCTGTACGTTATCTCATAATTATGCCACAACTGCACGTGTAATGACTTAATGTAGTGACTTAGCACGACGATCCGACAGATGTTGCAACAAATATATAGCTACAAGGACCGGTTACGTATATAGATAATGAAGCTGCTAATAGAATTGTGGATAGAGCGAGTTTATTAACGCAACTGAACTTATGGATCGTGAATTTTTGTAAAGGTCGCTGTTTTGCATCGAATGTCATACATTAAAAGTGTTTCTTATATCACTCGCTTTCTCGGAGTCACCATTTCTAGGCAGAAAGTACAAGATCGGCGCGGGTAAAAGTGCGTGTGCGCGCCCACATGGGCGCGTGAATGTCGCGTACGTGGGAAGCGATTTGCTAAAAGAGAAGAGAGAGAGAGAGAAGCAATGATGCAATAATGGCAACAACAGATTACATATTGCCCGACCGTTACCAGAAGTTTATGCGCTCAGTTATACTCTATTTAATTCTAACGTTTCAGTGCATTGAGCTCATTTCCGTGCACATGCCTCGTAAGGCTAAAGGATAATAAGCAGTAGCAATACAAAGTAGAGTGTCAATTAAGAATCATGCAGCTTAATAGAGTCAGTGGAATTGTATCTTATCGTCTTATTGGAATGTAATATGCAAATAATAGGTACCCACTTGCGTAATGACAATCTCACGTCAAATGTAAATGTCCATGGCGATAGCAGGGTGTGCCAACAAATTTACCGTGTAAATTTACGGATTGAACATAAGTCAACTGCGACCGGTCAACTTCGACTAATGTCACGTTGGCATTCCGTTAATATATTCCGCGCGATTAACATAATTGCAGATTTCTTGATGTTACACATCAGCAAGTTTCTTCCTTTCTACTTTTTTAATTTTTAAGATAACTTTAATCTCATTCTTAAGGAAGCTTATTTTTAATGTTAATTTCTGTTTGAAATATGTAGGATTGGAAATCAAGAATAGTGCTACGAACACTTTATATTGTTTATTTAGAGAAGTAAAGAAAGAGCGACCATTATTTTTGCTCGAAGCGAGACAGACTTAGCTTAAATTTCTTTTTTCTTTTCCTGCAAAGTTTTTTAAATAATTTTTTAAAGATAAAAATGTTATTTATAAAAATTAATCTTAAAACTTCTCTGAATTTTTAATTCGGATTTTAATAATAAAAAATATAATAAAGTAGAACTCCATTTATAACCGAACATGTCAGACGAGACAGTTCTGATATTCGTATGGTTCGGATAAAAGAGGTTCATTAATTCTTTGTTCTATTAATATTAAATATGAACTTGTTCGTATAAATGGAGTGCAGAGAGATATAAACGAACCTATACTATAAAATATTAAGAATTAAGAAAAACTGCTCTCTGTATATTTTTTAAAGTGGATCTTTCATTTTAAAGAGTGAAAATTGAACCAATCTTGAAAAAGAGTAGTTCAAATTTCAATCTTCAAAAGTGAGATTTTACTCTTTAAAGTTTAGACAGTTCACCCTAAAAGTTTTAGAGAGTACACAAATATTTCATATCGAGCGTCTGCCTATTCAAAAAGAGAATAGCCATTATCTGAAGCAAGATAGATATAGCTATATATAAGTTTTATTTTTTTCTGATAAAATTTTTTTAATTTCTGACATAATAACTTCATTTAAAAAACAATATAAGGCTTCACAGATAAACTCGAAACAACAATGATAATGTAAGGAAATGCCTATGTGATCCAACACAAGATATTCGTGTGTAATAATACATAGGTATATTAAAAATTTAAAAACATTATTTTCTGTTTCTATGGATGGCTATTAACATTTTTACATTGAAGAGGACTTAGTGCTAGGATTGAAACGTCTGTATTTAAAATTTTAATATACGTATTATTACACACGAATATTTTGTGTTAGCTCAAATAGGCATTTCCTTACATTATTGTTATTATTTAAAAAATTGATTCTTAAAAAATTTCCCTAATTTTAATTCGAATTAATACTTGAGATATGGGAAACCAAGAAGTGCTGCAAATACTTCATCCAAATATTCGCTTGTCCGAAGAACTGAAGAAAAGAATAGCTATTGTTTTCGCTCGGAACAAAACGGACGTAGTTGTAGTTCCTAAAGCGATACCAGTTCTAACATCTAAGCTGCACGCACATAGCGAGCATCGCGATATATTTACGCAAACGGGGAGACCAAGGAGGAACGGTGGCAACGGTCCAGCAGACACGATGTTACAGAAATAGATTTCGGTGGCGATGCAACGGAGGAAAAGTCAACCCCGGCGAGGTGTCCCACATGAACGTGAGTGTCGATATTCGTTCCATCGAGTGCAACCCCCGGTGCATCTTCCGCCTCTTGGACTTCCGTAACGATATTCAGTACAGCGCTGATGCCATTTGTCCTTCTCTTATTTAAAAAAAGGAAAAATGACACACCGTTTGCGAGGATAATAAACTGAAGATACAACATAATTTTACATTTTGGATGATTAAAAATGTAAAATCGTATCGCAAAGAATGATTTTTTTCAATAATGAATGTTCTGAACAAAACACCGTTAATAGAATACCATTGTTGGCCAATTGTTGGCCCAAGATCTCAGTGCTTTGTCGACATGATTCACAAAACGGTCTGTAACGTTACGATAGGTCGGCTGTCGTGGATACGGATTGTCTAAATCGGAGCTCGCATGGTGCATCGACTTGGAGTGCGCACAGCGCGTACATTTAACTTCGTTCTTAGGACACAATGTCGATAGCAGTATCAACTCAATAGTGCTCATTTTCTAATTTAAGAGATGAGTCAAATTACTTTACATCTTTTGAGAATTGAACAGAAAACATCTTTGACGCAATCGCGAAAAGAGTTAAAAGGCAGCAGTATATTAATATTATTCTTATTTGTTTTTAAAAAGCATAAATAATTTTATTCCTAAAGACACGTAAACAAAAATATAATTAGAAATTTGATTGTTAAGCGCGATTTTTAATTATGATAATATATAATAAATATTCAACAGATTTTTACGTAAATGTTTTTATGGGAACAAAGAAGAGACTCTTAAATTTGAGATTCTTCAAATTTCAACTGCTAATGTCTCGATTTAATTAGAGAAAACGAAAATTCACATCTCGAGATAATTATTTATTGCATGGCGTCTAAAATTCACGTCGTTACTTCGCAATTTGCTAGTCTCGTAGCATCGTGTTCGCGTAGGCACCTATCCTATGCGGGTACCAGCGACTATTGGAATAACGTAACGAAAGATAAAGCAGGACCCATTTCTCACACTACTGCTATGCGGAAAGTTAGACTTGCGAATTAGCGCGTGCATGTTATCTGTAACTTGTAACTCTATACTCGTACTGTAACAGTTACTTCCGGTTCGAGATCCCCCTTTCTGGATTGCGTCTCTCGCTAACCATTGTCTAATTATTCTGTAATTATACAATATCGCGCATCGTTGCTGGAAGTGTGACGAAAGCATAAACGGATCTTAAGATTGCATCTGGTGGTCTAGCAACTAAGCCATCTAAACTCCAAACATGAATAAAATGCGCGACGTGTCTGCGCGTGAAAGAAGTTCGCGAACAGAAATTCTCCGGGATAAACTAGAAGTTGGATGATTTCCAGCTTGCACAGTCGTATGCAATCTCAACAAGAAATAGTTTTGCGCTCGATTTACATTTTGGGTTCTTTCTTTTATCCTGTCACGTTTTGAGATGAAATACTTAGATAAAAGAGATATAAAAAAAAGATTTAACAATAAATAAATTGAATAAATAATACATGCTGCATATCATTTAATTTCATTAAATAAATTAAGTCGTTTCTCTCTTTCGACACTCTAATGTTGCCATAAAGTCTTAATTAGAAAATTATAAATTATAATTTCCGTATATATTTTCATGGTTTTGTTGCGGATTTTCTTGTCGTGTAAAATAGAAACAAAAATAGAAAAAAGTTCTTGCTACAAGAAGAACAGAAGAGTGAATGTTCTAAAGATACGAGAGATCGAATCTAATTCAAGAAACTAATTCTCGTCTCGTCGCGGCTCTCGAGCGAAAGCTTTTCACTGCGCGGCTACGTTTATTTCCGTAGTCTTGTTAACGTCATACGGATATCTTCAATTAATCGACAAGCTACTGCGATCCAATAAAAGGATAATAAGACGAGTGGACAGAGAACTAGTGATCTGTAATAACAGATAAACAAGGTATGTCAGGAATTTCTGGATATGTCAGATATTTATTTAGGTCTTTCATCAATTACGTTTCATCCGCTCTTTCATCAATTATATACGTTCTCCGTCTAAAGCTGTGATCTAAAATATCTCGAAATAAAATTCAATTACGTTCGATATTTCGCATAGGAAGAAAAATATTATCGTCGGTGTCACCCACGTCATGAAAAAATGTCGCGCGCAACGCGGCTCAACTTTATTTCTAGACGCGGAACACGCTTTTTCTCGATCGCAAAAATAGATCCGGACGGTCCAGCTTCCGGCGGTGGAGCATCGTTCTGACGTCACGCTTTCCCGCGACGAAACCCACTTGTACAGTCTCGATTATACGACGCTGAAATTATTTAGGTTTCGGACTCGTAAACCCAAGGTGCGATGACATCAATTCACACTTGGCACAAGTTATGGCAGTTGGAAACTGCCAGCTCTTCGAAGTTGCTTAGACTTTTGATACTTTGGTTTAACGAAGCGTTGTTTCCGCGCTGAATATGATTACCACTGCTAGATGTACCTTTATTTAACTTAACTGTAACTATAATAATTTTATTGTATATAATACACACACACACACACATATACGTATCTTATATATAAAACAATTTTACAATTCTAAATAGAATTTCATGAGATCGTTATTAGTGCAACATTTGAATAATAAGCATGACGGAGATGCACCAATGCCTCTTACGTGTTTCTGAAACAAATAATTATGATTCTTAAAAAGGAAAATAATAACGTTCTATTGTTATTACATAGAACCCGGGAGCTGAAAAATGGCGACCAATGGCCATATCGAATCCATCCACCAAGTTGCGAATGGCAAGATCCATGCCCCATTGGGTCATGGTAGGTTTCTTTTCTTTTAATTTTAATTTTTAATTTTATAACTCTTACAGAAAATAAAAAGGTGCTTATATATATTTGTCAAAATAATTGATTAATTTTATAATATATTTTATTTAATCTTACTCTCTAAAGTTTTTGGTATCTTACTCTAAAAGTTTCAGAGAGTAGCATTAATCTGTTTATATATCGCTACATAATATTGATCTCAAAAGTGAATACATTTCTTCGATAAAAAAAAGGCGCAGCAGCAAGCAGAGCAGCAACATCGTCGGCTCCCGACGCCTCCGAAAATCCCGCCACCGTCGCTCTCCGGGGACTGTGGAGACCCCGACTACGAGATCATCGAGTTTCCGACCCGACCGCAAGCCCAGAAACCCTCGATGCCCCAATCGAATGCTGGTAAGTGCGCCCTGTGCGGCACTGATAACGTGTTCGCGCGTTGCGACACGTGCAACGAGAACTTCTGCGAGGCCTGCGACGACATGAACCACAAGCATCCGAAGCGGAAGGGCCACGTCCGTAGAAGGATCCTAACCGCCAACGCAAGCAGAAGCAAACCGCCACTCCCACCGAAGGGGGAGAACCTGTTGAATCCTCCACCAGTGCCACCACCGCGGAGGAATCGCAAGACCTCTCAGGTAGGCTGCGTCCTGGCCTGAAACTCCCGACTACTTGTGAATCTTCTTCCAGGCACCGACGTCAATCGTCGATCGTCTTCGATGTTCCCCAGCGTCTATGCGTCCAAGAATCGCTTCGGGATCACTCGAGCTCGATGGAGATCAGGTTGCGACTGTACGACCAATGAATTTTCGCGATCAAGTGTCTATTTCTTGACGACGTTCGTGCAAGATTGGATCAGTGACTAACTCCGAGAGCTGTTTATCGCCAAATCCGACCTCGTCTCCGTCGCGCCGAGTGCTCACGGAATCGAATCGTTGAATACTGACTCTCTTTCGACGTTGTTGATTAAAATGATGTAGCTTGAAACATCACACCGAGGTGTTCTTAAGTGTTACTGCCCTTGCGAGCTTTAAATGATCGTTGATATTGTTCTACATCCAAATTCTATTTAACGTTTAGATTTTATTGTACATATTGTCGTTGCTTTTTAATACACCATGTTACCGCAAGACACTGATGCCGTATTCACTGAACCCGTTCTCTCTTCCAGTTCTGTTGCTGATGTAATGACGCGGAAATGACGAACGTAGCGCGTCGGCGCCTTCGTAATGCTGGGCATTTGTCGTATCGTGTAATCGAATCGTTTTTACCGCGAACGATCTCTATGGAGTGGTGAATATGGCAGGCTACGGTGAACACGGTGAACACGATCATTCTCGCACACGATTATAATTTTCTCTATCGGCATCCGTAGCGATCCCGTACCATACCGTTACGGGTACCACCATGACTTATTTTTATACTCGGTGTATTCCGCCTTCTTTTCAGCATAGGACTATCCATCCAGCTGTTTAAATCTGCCACACTCAGAGAAGTGACACAGATAATTTTTTTGATGACATGTTATTATTTTTAAGAGTTTTGTTTTTAATATTCTCGACGCACATTGATGTCTAGAAATGAGCCATTTTGCATATTTATTTATTTATTTGTTCTTTTTTCAAATCTATTTTATTTTTTTAGAAGAATGTTTCATAGGAGGGCTTTAATATATTCGCCACAATCATTATTATTTAAACTTTTTTTTCAATACCAACATCAATACAGTTTTACAAACGAACATCTACAATTCTCGACGACATATTCCGAGTGTTGTTCTCTCCTTACATCCACAATATGTAATTAAGTTAAAATTTCGCGCTTACAATTAGGCTAAATCAGCGCTAATCAAAGGATCTGCGCAACTTTCTTTGCTCGACAAGGTGGGGAGCTTGAAGCGCAATTTTTCCAATGCAAAACCATCGCTGGACTCGAGCGCGAGAGTGTCAAAATCTACGAATACTTTAAACACGTCTTCCAATGATGCTTCAGGAACAGACAAAATGACTACTCTACAGGTAAGACGAGTTATAATATCATACAAAATTATTTATTAAAGGCCTTGTTTTAAATGGCCTTATTTTAACAGAATTAGACTCTGAGAGATATCTAAGATTATGAAATATATTAAATAGATAAAGGAACTCTCAAAATTATAGTTTTTAATTGCATTTCATTAAATGGACAAGATAAAATAATAAGTATTTATAAATTTAATTATTTATTAAATCTCGAAGTTGACTTACTTTTTTTTATTAAGATAAATTATGTATTCGTAAAATCATCTTTATTTCTGATAAGTTTGATATATTTTTTTGCTACTATTTTATCATTGTAATAAGTCCATTTGTTGAATTTTTGACAACTTTATTCTTTATTTTAAAAACTGAAATAAACTGGAATAATTATAAATTTGTAGGAGAGATACAGAAAATACCAAGAGGTAATGAGGGCTCAAGATGCGAATAGGCGACGACACCCATCCGCTGATACGAGGGACACTTTAAGCGGAAGACCACTCAGCGTAGGCAGTCCAAAACCGGCACCGCCACTTCCGCCTCCGCCGCCACCGAGAACTATGATACAATCAGCCAGCGTTTGCGACTTGACCGCTGCTCATATGTGGAATTCAGGAATGCATCAGGTATTTTGAATGTGTTTTTAAACAAATATCAAATATATTTCATTAATTATCAATCTGACTGTTATTAGATTTTTAGTCTTCATTTATCTTCCAAACGTTCAAAAAGAAGATTAGACTAAAAATCTGACTCCCGCAAAAAGATTCGTGATAGATAAAATTATTTCAGGCCCAATCAATGGCACATCTCGGACCCGGCGGCATGCCGATGTGGTACCCACCGGTTAACTCCTGGGATGTGTCGATGGGAGGTTCCAATCTGAGCCTACATCATCCAAGCATGTGGGGATATCCCATGGGCTATCCGTCAACACAAATGCTACCTTCGCATTATCCGGGATCTCTTTCTAGAGGGCACAGTCCAGTCAGAAGCGTTAAGTCTAGAAGATCGAGACCAGCGTCTCCATCTCCTAGTCTGAAATCCAGGAAGTCTTATGCTTCAAGATCGCGATCGAAGAGGTCGCCCGGGTCACCATCGGATGCGAGTTCTGAGAACTCCGACGAGTCCGATATAGACGATAGACTTTCCCGTGGATCCAGAAGTAGACGCGGCAGCGTTCCCAGAAGTATACGACAACGAAGCTATCACGACGAAGATACTAGAAGTCTCGTGTCCAGAGGTCGACGAGAGTAAGTGGGAAAATTATATAATAGATGAAAATAATTTTTCTCGATAATTTAAAATTTTGGATGTTTAAATCAATATTATAAAAATTAGCCTTGTTAATATAATTGATATTTAGGAAACATTTTCACAAAATTTTGTGAATAAATATATATGCTATATAAACATATTAACTTTTAATTAACTATATTCGATCATTGTAACCGTTTTGATAATATTTTATCATTTTTTATTTCAAAAATTAACAGTTAATATTTATACTATAATCGGTTTTTATTACAAAATCATCTTAATTAATATTTTGAGAAGCTAATAGACAATTCTGTAATTAATTTATGACATCTTAAAACTATATTTGAGACGGTTTTAAATGTAAGAATGTACGAGTATCAATCTATCTTTTTTGGAACAACAAATAATTTTATAGAATTTTAATTTTTGTGAAATATAAATTTAATTTTGTCAATATTTAAATATGTATATTTCATTCGCGATCATATTTACACGTCAATGATTGATTTTTTAGAAGATTAATGACCGAGGAGAAAGTGATGAATGCCGAGGACCAATGGTCCGAAAGTCCGTCCAGTAAACGATACTCGACATCCTCGAAAAGCTATGATGAATTTCAAAAGAGCAACACTATCTCTTCTGGACGACGTTACGATCACGATGATCGTTCGGTTTCCAAGATGGATCCTCGACTGGATCGCGTTCAGAATGGAACTTATCGCGATCGCCGAAGGCGAAGTACCGACGACGAGTCCTCTGATCGAAAAGTTAATACGCCGAACCGAGCACGAGTTACGAGCTCATCTGACGATCATTTCGAGAGGGTGGAGAACGCTTTGAAAAGGGCGTCATCCCTTCGAAGGGACATAATGTTGGATGATCTGGAACGATCTTCTCATCGCGATTCTCGTAGATCGTCCTTTGACAGCGATCGTCAGATTAAGAAGACGCCTTCTCGAGAAGTAGCTTCGCCAAAAAGAACACCTAGAGAAAGAACGCGTCTTCTGGAAAGACAGTCTTCTCAAGGAGGACACTCGGATCACGCGAATAAGGACGAAGTTGAATCACATTTAATAAGAAAAGAGCAACAAAGGCGTGATATCTCGCGAGAGCGCGAACTCCTCACGAAAAGAGAGTCGTTCCGGCAAAAGGATACTTTTGATAATTTAGACCAAACTTCCAACAAACGAAGTTCCGGAAAATCTTCTTTTGAATCCGACAATCAAAGTGTCAGAAAAACGCCCTCTAAAGAAATACCGATAAGAAAGGAGAGGGACAAGGAAGATTCAGCTTTACCTGAAACAATAGGTAATCTTCAAGTTACAGATCGTCAGCGATCGATTGATAAAGACCGTCAGTCGAAGGATTTGATACGAACTGCCGAAGCTCAACAGAAGAGACAGAACAGTACTGAGACGAAACAGCAGCAAACGCGAACGTCTCAATCTCAGAAGGAACCAAAGATAGAAAAGAGAGACACAGTCGGAAGTACAAGTGCATCATCCAAGAAAATCGCGTCCGATGAAACAGTCGCGATGGAAATTCCTAAAGAGGAATGGGCTTGCGAGCATTGCACCTTCATCAACAAGATCAACGATCGCGTCTGCGTGGTTTGCTGCAAAACGAAGAGTAGCGCTTTGCCACCAAGCATCTTGAACGATGACCCCGTGATCGAGCCGATTGAGCCGCGAGCACCGAAAAATGAGATATCAAATAACGTCGGCGATCCCAATCACGATCCCGAGAAGCGGACCAAGAAGATCTCCAACAGCGAAGAGAGCGGCGACAGCGGATCCGTTAAGAATAAAGGTAGACCGAAGCGTAAAATCAGCTTTTCCTTCGGTACCAAGTTGTCCAAGTGACGTCACGCGTGACGCTTCCATTCTATGTGATGCCCACCCGCGTATTCCTGTCCAGAAATGCGGATGACCCGGATTACATTTGTACACGTCTCTCTTTCTTTTTCTCTTTCTCTCTCTCTCTCTCTCTCTCTTTTTATCTCTCTTTTTTTATTTTTACGTAAAGCGGCAGTCACTAGCCGTACAACTGGTTGTTCTTCACCTTCGATGTATTCCCTTGGATGAATAATAAAGAGACATGGAAACTGTTTTTCGTACAACGCTACCAACGGCACCAAATGCATAGTCGTATTTGAAATTCGGCCATCTTCTGTTCATGTCTGAGGCGTTATATTATTCATTCAAGCGATGCGACGGATTCAAGCACGAGCGTGCATTTGGCATATGTTCCTTTATTCCGGGATAGACCATCGATGGAAATCACTGCCAAAGCATTTGGCTAGACGACGCTAAAAACGCGTCAACGGCAAAAGATTTATTCATTATAAACTGAAAGAAATTATACTGCAGTAAAGTTTTGTTAAAATTTATTTCTTTTAAAATCATCCGTCAAAATCGATTTTGCATATCAGTTTATTGATATCAAATATTAATACATTATTATATTACTAGTATATAATACTAATATTAATTGTGATAATTACAAATACATTTTAGATACACAATATGTTTATTTGTGGCGGTACAAACCTAATAGATTGGCAAATTAACAGATTTTTTAATTAAGGAATTAGTAATTAATAGAAAAAAGTCATGTATATATACGAGCAATATAATACCAATATTTTTAGCTTATCTATATACCAAAATTTTCCAGCAGTACTTATTTGTTTCTCGATTTTATTTTTTCTTTTCGTTTGTAAAAATGATAAAAATGTTATAAATGTATATTTTGGGTTGACCTTGAAAATGATATGATACACAAAAATATCCTATTGGAAACGCGATATCAATCGATTTTATATCTCCATAAACATATAATTTAACTATAGCGTAAAATAATTCACAATCACACTGAATCATGGGGCAAATTTATGATTTTCAGAAGCGATTGCTCCAGACAATGATTCTCTCGTAGAGAACTCTGAAACTACGATCACAGCTGTAGCTTCGCAAGCAAAAGAGGCGTCGTTGAAATCGACAAACACGACATCGCCAGTCGATGGGAATTTGTCCTCAGAAGCATCATCCTCGGTGTTAACATCTTCGGTTGCGAATACTTCGAAGGCAGACAATACGAACACGATGTCAGATGAGGAAAAGATTCGAGGGAAACTTTTGAAGAGCCATTCGGTATCTACGGGAACATCTCCTCCACCGCAGAGCATCTCGACCCAAGTAAGAATTGTTTGAGTGAGATATTATTTATGTTTGTGACATATTCTACGAACAAATATGGACGAAAATATTACTTAAACATAAAATTAAATGAAAATAAATTTTGCATTAAAATATTTTAGACTTACGACTATCTCCCTGCAAAAGGGACTCTCAGAAGATCCGCGTCGACAGCAACGTCAAAGAGTTACTCATATTACGATGATAGCGATGGTGAGGTGAGCGAAAATTTGCGAATAAATTAAAACATAATTAAATATCAAATAAAAACAATCAGAAACTCTACGATCAAAAAATCATCGATAAAATATTTTTTTAGTAAGAAATAAGATGTTTTGCATCTTTCGCGTTGATACGTGATCGATCACGGTCTTTGTGCGTTCTAATAAAGGAACAAGACGAAGCATTTGTTTCAGGAACAAGCCGGATTCGTAAATAGTCCCGATTTGTATCCGCGAGCGTTGCAGGAACAGTATCTTCAGCAGTTGATAATCGATCACCGAAGCAGAGAGCGGACCAGAAGAAACTCCACCGACTCGTCCCATCTTTATTATCGTTCCAGGGTAAAACTCGCTTACGAACTCAAGCCTGACGAATTTTTCGTTGTACACCTCGTCATCCTCAATCTAACCGCTGCGATAATTAGCCTCGGTGTGAGCGTAGGCAGGATGATATTTTAATTTTTTTAGCATCCTCCAACCGCTTAATAGATCGCTTATGTATATTTATTATTTATTATGCTTATTTGCGTAATACATTTACAGCTGCTGCTACTTCTGGTATATTAAACACGCGCTTTAACAGAGCATATTAAAGATAATCTATGACAGTGGAACCCATCACAATTGTGACTATTCCCATATCAAGTAACATCGTCCACTGGCTCTGCAATCTCATGCTTTTACCAATTTTTGATGAGACAATCATTGATGGCAATGTGCTTTTATTGGTTTCAGGAACCCAGCCAATCAAGATACACGGAAGCAGGTTCCAGTACAAGTCAAACAGTCTCCACGTTGACCCGCCAAGGATTGGAGATAGTAGAGCTCCTACGGGAAGCCGAGAAGCAGGGATTCACGACCGACGACGTTCAAGTCGCTTTGGCGCAAGGCGCACCGAATCCTATCGAGTGGCTTCAGACGCAGTGGCCGCATCTGGTGGAGACTGTGCAGGTTTTAGTGACCGCGCAGGGCAAAGAATTGAAGCAGAATAGCATCGGTGTGCTCTCACCGGCCGAGGCGAAAGAGGCCCTACGATCAGTCAAGGGCGACATGTGGAATGCAGTTGCGATAGCTATTCAACACAGGCAGCAGAAAGTACGTGCGAGGAAAAATTTAAATATTTAAAATCTTTGATGAGATTACTTTGATTATCATTAATTTGTCGTCCTTTCGATTGGCAGTGCGAACAGATCATGGCAAAGGGAAATTTTGCGCTCACTGACGTTATCAGAGCTCTCGATAATAACGCTGGTATCGAAGATGCTACTCTGCTTGAGTTGCAGAAGAATCAGCTCAAACCCTTTTTAATGAGGATCTGGGGTCCTCCGGTCGGGGTGGAAAACGAGGAGGCTGCACCGCACGAAGGTCAGTGAATGTTTGATGTACGCCAATTATGATAATTTTATAGTATTTTCCAATGTTTCAATATTTAAATATTTAATATTTAATATTTAATATTTAAAAATATTATATAATATTATTTTGTAGTAAGCATCATTTTTATATATTCTTTTATTATTTAATATTGTATAGATTTTAAAAGTATATAGATGTCTATTCTTTCCATTTTGCTTTATATGCAATCTGAAATATGAAATTTTACTAATCAATATTACTTATAATGTACTACAATTTACTATTAGAACGACTTATATTTCCCTATATGCAATAGAAAAATATATATAATCTTAGAAAATTAAAAGTGAAAGATTAAATATTTTAAACGAACAAGAATAAAGACTCTTGAAATTGAAATAACAAAATTAAAATAGGATTAATAAGAGTTTAGCTCGACTCGTCTTGACTCACGTTTGAGGGCTAATAAGATTAATCCTTCTTAATATTATTTTATCAAATGTAACTATCTAGCACATTTTATCGTTTGCGCTAGACTTATTAGCACTCTATTCTAAATTTGTATTTATTTTATTTGTACCGGCACATTTATAAAAGAGTCACAAGGGCTTAATATTCGAGGAAGAAATAAAGATCATCGATATGCGCTGATTTTTCTTTTTGCTGCAGACGCAGCGGGTGCGGTCGGTGGTGGGACGGGGGTTGGTTCCACGGAACAAGTTTCGAATGTGTCCGATACGGAAGCGCAGAAGCAGGTAATGTCACCAATTGTTGATCATTTCGTGGCGTTGCAGGCCGACTTTCAAAAGCAACTGGCAGCCCTCAGAGAACTGACCGATAACTGGCGACACGAGAAAGATCCCCCGAATAAATTGGGTAATAATAAGTCTGATAATCTGTACGACTACTCTGATGAGCCCACTGTTCTAATCGATGCAAATCTGGTCCCAAGGGCCGTACAAGCGCTCGACGTAGCGGAGCCAAGCAATCTTACGATCACGCGGCAAGAACAGACGACCGTAGATTCGCGGGATGACTCAAAGTACTCGTTGAACACTACGAAACCAACAGAAGGCTTGGACCAAGTAGATGCCGCGTTGTCCACAGAAATTCCCGCATCCACACTCGATGATCTCGCGAAGACAAGTGCAATGGACTCCTCACACACGCTTGAATACTCCTCGAAAATTGATAACGCTGATTCAATCGGAGAATCATCGACGATTGATCCCGACAAAAGTGTTGTGCAAATTACTGAATCCAATCTGCTAAAATTTGATGGTCAGAAGAACGATGAAGTGAAACAAACCTCGCGGTTGTACGAAGAGACGAGAGAAACGCGTGCTGACACCTCGACTACATCGATCGATGAAACTGCAGTGGCGACGGAAGTTACGAATTTACCAGAAGAACAGGAAAGATTATTACCAAATAACGCCGGAGTTGAAGTATCCTCATCACATAGAACTCCTGCGCTTGACACAACGAATAATACGGAACCGGGTCAGTCCTCTTCTACGCGCCAGGAAACTTTGAGTGGTCCTGAATTACCCTCTGATATAGCAAGACAGAGCACCGTGATGGGGAACAGCGAGTCACTCGTCGAAGTTGGGAAGTCTGTAGAATTGAGCGGAGCACTTCGTACCTCTTTCTCAAATTCGAGTGTTCCCCAACGAGCCGATATATTGCCGCATGCATCGCGGGACGAATCCTCAATCGCGGATACGGCGAACGTGACGGAGAAAGTACACGCGAGCGCATCCGAAAGGGATCTTTCCGCACGGGAGCAATTTGATCAGCGTGTTATAAAGGAAATCCCCACGCAGAACGACGAGCCGCATAACGTAACGGTGGAAGCTCTGCTGTCTGCCGTGAAATCACTGCCGGAACAGTTTTTGACGCCGTTCATAACAGCGATGCAAATGCTGTCGCCCGGGAAAGGTGATGTCAACGTAACTTCCGATGTGCAACTTATGAACCAGTTAAATACCTTACACAGCATGAAAATTGATGACCATAAAGTTGACGTGTCTGAGGCCGAAATCACTGACAGGACGAACATTAACGCTCTTCAGAAGTCAACGATAACAGATGTTCCTTCAAAAATTGATGTTGAGCAGAAGCCCGGTTCCGCAGCCGTGCTTGAAAACAAAACTGGATCGCAGTCGCTTTCGGGAAAAGGTCAAGAAGGTAAACATTTGGAGAATAGTTCCGAAAAATTGAAAAGCAACAAGATTATCGATAAGGAAATCGCAAGATCTAAGGTTCCGGAATCTCGGATGGTGAAGTCTCGGTCGAGCGTTCCAGACATTAAGCAACAACATCAGGATGTCAGATCGGTAGGTACAGACACGGACGAGTCTAACATTTCGCAAACTAACATTGCAACGGATCTGACGTTTTCCGATTCGGTGGATGTAATGGACAAAGACACTCGTGAAGAATCTTGGGTCATGAACGAGGCGGTAACATCAAATATAGAAATAGCTGAAGCGTCACAAACGGACGTCGCCGAGGAAATATATCCACGTAAGAATTCTTTAGAGATAGTCGACGTGTCTGCAAGAAATAATAATCAAGGAGAATCTGTCGGAGACGAAACCGTGTCGAAGGCAAGATCAGCCGAGGAAATGCATTCAGGTGAATTATCGAGTTTTTACGTGCAACCGTTAATAATATCTTCAACGCATGATCAATCTGGCGTTCAAAGATCTCTCGAGCTTACATCCGATAATTGCTCGACTGATGCATCATCGTCATCAAAGGAAGCAGAAAGCTCTTCCAAAAAAACAACTCATGAAAAACTTCTCATTGATAATACGGACATTGATTCACTCCTAAAAAATAACTTGTTACGAGACAAAAGTTCATTAGCTTCTATAAATAATTTTAACGTGGGAAAATCTGCTTCTCAATCAATAACGGAAATAAATGTTTCACCAGAAGAATCGATCGTTCATAATTCTAACGCTGATCATTCGACTGTTTCACATGAAGTAATGAACGTGACTAATATGGCAAATAAACAGGATATTAACAAATTGGACGAGCGACAATTAAACGATTCATCTCATGCGCATGTTTCAACATTAGCTTCATCAATCTCGTCGACTTTATCTCTCGCAAAAGTAAATTCATCTTCTGATCATTCTCTCGACATTAAATTACCGCTCGTCGAAATATTCGATAATCAAGGAACGACATTGCGTCATGATAAAAATGATACAAAGCCGATCGTTTCGAAAAATGCGGTGCACGTTTCGGAAAAAGTAGAACAGACAATTTCGGTCACATATCACACTCCCGCGAGCGACGATAAAAATGGAACTACGTTGAAAGAAAACGTGCCTGTTGAGCAAAATACGACCAATAATTTATCCATTACTCAATCGCGAACCATTGAAAGTATCGTACCACCATTAACACACTCGCACGCCGCCATGGAAATGAATTTAAATAATCTATGTAATCAAGAAAAGGAAATTACATTTGTTTTGGAAAAATCTGACAATTTAATGATTAAACAGACCTCAGATGTTCAATCTTTAATAGATTCACAGGATATTATAAATCAAGATCAATTATTTAATTCGACAAAGAATCAAGAAACAATTACACTTCCACATAATCACATAACATATACAAAAATATTACCCTCTTTATCAAAAAATAATCTTGATGTCAATACTTACCCTAAAAATATTTCGTATCTTGAAATATCAAACAGCTTTAGTGACCTCAAAACTTCAAAAGACATTAAAATTCCAGAGAATAGTAAAACAGTATCTATTCCTGAAATTCCAAACTCTATTGATAACAGCTCTGTTGCAAGTAGTAATAAACTTCCCGATGAAAATGTACATAGTCAATTAAATGAATTATCAAATAGTAATAACGACATACCAGATAATACGTCTCCTCGATTATCTGTCGAATATGTTCTTTCCTTAGAATCGAAAAAAAGTATTTCGCATCCCATAAATCGCGACGAAGAACTTCATCTCAGAGACGAAGTTTCTCAATCTCACGATGACAAGAGACAAGACATAAAAATGTCAAATTCAACGACAAGAAATATCTTACATGCGCTTAAAAATTTCAATATATTCTTTACAACACCGACTGAGGAGAGAAATATCGCTTCAACAGTCAACGAAGACTCCTTCTCGGATTCTATTATAGCAAATGTCAACGACGCGACGCCCGGAATACCTGACACTTTTGAAATAAAGGTCTCAGAATCACCAGTAACAACGGTAAATGATTGTGCACCGATAAAAAATATCGCAAATATCGTTGAACGCGAAACGGGTCAGATCGAAGGTGTTGATACAATGGAAAATGCGAAAAATGTCGATTCGTCCGGAAATGAAATTTCAATCATAGCATCTAACGAACAGGTTGAGCCATCAAAATTATCGAATAATGAAAGTTTGATAGAAAAAGATACAGAACAAGTAAATCAATCTCGTAAAAGCGTGATCGCGAAATCCGTCGTGAGTCGTAGGTCGAGATCGCCTCTTAAAAAGATCGTTCGAAGAAAATCGCCCGTTAAGATAGTAAAAAAATCAGCAAGCGTACCGAGAAAAAATTTAGCACGGAAAAGCGCAAGTCCGTACAGTACGACCATCACAAAAGCGAAAGCAACGGCTAGTGAGATTACTAAAAGGTCGAATCGAGCAATGCAGTCCAATGAATCGCGAATTAAAGAACTCTTAAAGCCCACGTATATCGCGAACAATAAGGCAGACAATAAAAATAAATTAGTTGCAAAAGAACCAGATAAAACTGTTAAACAATCACTAAATAGCGTGCAAAAAATTGCGGGAAATATTAAAGTAAATGATAATAAAAAGGTTTTTATGTCCGATTTAGAAAAAATATCGATAGTCAATAACGCGATCAATCTCGAACCGCAAACTAAAGTACCTATTGTTAAAAAATATAATGGAAATAAATTGGAAAATTTTAAAAAGAGAACGCCGGAATATCCTAAAAATAAAATTATTAAAGATATTCAAAATAAAAATCCAGGAGGCTCAAAAAATATAAAACCGGAAACTTTTGAAAATCAAGCAATAAAGAAGATAAATCACAAAATTAAAATTTCGAACGACGATAAAGTTTTAATAAAAATGGAAAAATGTAATTCAAAATCTAAATCGTTTTTACCGTCAAAAATACCCATTCTAATGCGACGAAAAATCACGCAATTAACAGATAGTGCCTCATCAAACTCTTCTAAAATAAATTTAAATGACACGTCTTTATTGAAGAGCGCATCAACTAAATTGCCAATAATGTTGCCAGCAATTTCGAAATTATCTTTAAAAATTCCGGAAAAAGCTAATGTATTGAACTCGTCAACCATGCAGAAAATTGATTCTAAGAATTCTAACAAACTGAAGAGAAATCAAATTAAATCTAATGATAGAGCGATTGAAATTACAGAAAATGTGAAAGACAAGCAAATCTTGGAAGAGACTCATGCTAAAGAAAGTACTGTGGAAAATGAAGAAACCGAAGAACCTCCGAAAGTTAAGTCAATAGAATCGAAATTAAACGAGAATTCACAAGCGTCGAACTCGACGCATAACGATCCGTCCGCGGATCTTGGCAAACAATTGGAAGTCGAAAACGCAATCGAGGAAAGCTCGGATGCTTTCAGCTCCGATTCCGAGTGTTCTGAAGAGGACGAAGACACAGGAACAGCGAAGTACATTTCTGATCATAACTCGGAATACAATTCTGTCGAGGAGTTCACGGACGCGGAGTTGTTGTTGGAGAAAACGCTAAATGAGATAAGGTCTGAAATATCGGAGTCTGAAGAAGAACGCACAAGCGAATCCGAGGAAAGTGAGGCCGTCACTTATTCGTACGAGACGGAAAGCCACGATCATGATTCTACATCGTCCGAAGACTCGGTCGATGAACAGGAGATTAAGTCAAGTGAATTGGAAGATTCGGTGGAAGATGTATATGAAGAATTATCGTCCGAAGGGGAAGAGATGAATGAACAAGTCGAAACTTTGCAACAAGTTGAAGTGCTTTATAAAGAGACCGATGTTATACACAACGAAATAAATGACAATGAAGCCATCATTTTAAACAGAATGGAGAGTAATTCTCAGGTTACGCAAAAAGATAAAGAAAATAATTTGAAAGCACCAACTGCTACTACGATCGTAGAATTACCTCGGTCGGAAATAAACTCAGAAATTAATGAAAAGACATTAGAAATTTCTCAGAATCTTAAAGCAGATTCTAACATTGCTGTAATAGATTCGGCGACAGCATCTTCAGCGAATATCAAGCAGGATACAAATTCTAAAGAAAATATCCAGTCACAAATTAATGACTTGAAGAAGGATGAGACAAAGCTTGAAGTCGCGAGCGAAATCGAGCAAAGAGATCAGTCGACAATGCAGACCAATGCGATAAAGACACTGAGAGTCACGAGTCGCGAGTCACAAGATAAACGCGTAAAAGTAGGTCGAAGGGCGAGTACGGGTAGTAAAGAGGTCAAAATCGAGAAAGATGATACATTAAAGGGGGTGGATCGGGCTCGAGCGCCCAAGAAACGATTTTCCCTCGTAGCCAGTTTCATCCGTCGGTTCGAGGGCGAAGAGAATACCGAAAGGGAAAGCATCAGGCGCAAGAGACAAGGATCTCCCAAAACGGAGCGGGAGGTCAGTAGACGAGAGTTGCCAAAGTGATACACGACCCTCCCTCCCTTGTAGAAAACGTCAGTTGCCAAAAAGTCCTCGCGAATGTTCGAGCCGCCAAGAACCGGCCTTTTCTATCGTTGGCAAGCCAATGTCTACAAACAGCTCGAAATGCCAAGTGGGTGGGAAAGGGGATCGAACGCAACAAATAGGTGTTCTCTCAATTTTAACCGCGCGTTAATGGGTTAATCATTTAACTGTGACGAGACGTAGCTAACGCGAAGGTAAGTATTATGTCGTGACTAATTCATTGTCTGTAAGGAATAGAAATATTACATATCTTCTAAAATGTGTGTGATGGTATTTAATTAGGAAATTGAATATACAATATTATGTTCGATATTCTCCATATTTTAAATGTAAAATATTTAAGGTGTTCTATATATGCATAAGCATCCATTATAAATATATCATTTAATCGTTTTATTTCAGTAGTAGACGAAATATTAATGTTTTAGTTGAGACTTATATTTCTTATATTTATCAAATGAAAGAGAGCTCGTTTTTAGACGTTGGTGCGGTCTACTTCCTCTTCTCTTGCATGATGAAAATTGTGAACTTCCTACTTTCGAAATAATTTTAATTTAAGCAACAGAATACTTCATTTTGTTCTTCATAATTCATCTATTGAATTTAGATGTGAAGAAAATGTCAATATTGCACAATATGCTCCATAATCTCCAAAATGCTGCCTATGTTGTACTAATTACACGCACAGACTTGTAAATGGTCCATGTTTATATATCGATAAACGATAGATCTCAAGCTTTCCACTTTAGGTCGAGATTTGTAGACGAAGCTAAAATACCCTTTTTATACCATATGTGGAAACTGCGTACGTGCCGATATCGGAGCAATCTTATGTCCGTCACGTGTGCAGAGAATAGCGCGTCGTCTCCTGGCAGAGGGTCGAGCCGCGAATTACGATGAGGCCGAGGTCGCTGCTAGTTTGCTAACTCTCAAGTTCGGGGACACCGAAGCACTCCAGGCCGCGAAAGAATGCTCCAGCATAGAATCCGCGCTAGCCTTCTTGCAGCAGGAGTGCGAGCTGTGCACTGGTCGTTTCGCGATGAGTCAAGTGAGTGTCCAGTTATCGCGAGGAATCTGAAAAATTAAAGAATGCGAAAAGTAAAACCTCTTAATTAATTTCAAAAAAGAAATGTCACTTTCTTGTGTTCTTAAATTTCTATCTAGATTTATTCATCTTCGCAAATCTTACTTTACAAATTTTATTCTAGTTTATTAAAATAATCAAGAATCAGACAAGAGAGATATCAACAAGAAAGCGTATTGTTATTTTTTAAATTCTTCTTACTCTACTTGTAAATTTTTCTCACTTAGATAGTGTCCATGCTAAAATGCGTACATCGCTGCTGCAACGAATGCGCGAAGAATTACTTCACCATTCAGATCAGCGACAGGAACATCACGGATGCCGTTTGTCCGTATTGTAAGGAGCCTAATCTCAAGGATGCGAGTGAAGATGAAGTTCTAGAGTATTTCAGCAATTTGGACATCCAATTGAAGACCCTGCTGGATCCGCCAATTCATGAGCTCTTTCAGAGAAAACTCAGAGATCGGACTTTGATGCAGGATCCAAATTTTAAATGGTGTATTCAGGTAATTATTTAATTGCAATCTTCAAATTCACTATTAAAAAAAAAATTATTTTCCAGTGTTCAAGTGGATTTTACGCCGATCCTGATCACAAACGCTTAATTTGTCCCGATTGTCGATCTGTCACTTGTGCTTTTTGCCGAAGACCAGTATGTATAAAGCTTTTATAATTTTGATAATGTTTATATTAAACAAGAAGGCAATAATTTATTTTTGCATGTCTACTTTAGTGGGAAAAACAACATGAAGGAATCTCATGTGAGAAATTTGCCGCTTGGAAGGACGAGAATGATCCCGACAATCAAGCCGCAGGTTTAGCCAAACATTTGGCCGACAATGGCATCGATTGTCCTAAATGCAAGTTTCGTTATTCGCTGTCTCGAGGAGGTAACAATTATTATTACACTTTACTGCAAAGATAATAATAAGAAAATAATTTTATATTTATTTAGTTTTATTGTTTTGAGATTTTATCATTTAATTCTCGACTTTAATTATTTAAGTTTAATTGGCGTCTTTCATAAAAAATTGCTTTGTAACACTTTTTTTTCTTTGACATTAAATATTTCTAAAAGAAAACCATTGCTATACAAAATTGCAGAATACAAATTCCGCAATGGTTATTGTTTTTATACTGTTTTGAGAAGATAATAATATATTACGCTTTACTGCAAAGATAATTTACATTTATTTAATCTTATTTATTACGAAATTTTATTATTCAATTCTCGACTTTAATTGTTTAAGTGCATTCTAATTGTTTAATTTATATTTTTTGGAAGTGTTTCTTCTTTCTTTGTTAAATATTTCTAAAAGGAAACCGTTATTATAAAAATTGCAGAATACGTAGTAGTTATTACTTTTATTTTATAAAAACAATATGGTAATGGAAGAATTAATGAATGTTGATTCCAAATATTATCTTAATATACGCGGGCCATTTTAATACCACGTTATTTTTTTTTATCGATCTCGGGTGAGTTTAAAATATGGGGCGAGATATTTTTTTTAAATTATTCGATATGCATATCACAGGAACATTTTTCGAAGCTCGCTGAAAAAAAGAGGGCTCGTGAATTTTTATAGGTTGCATGCATTTCACGTGCAGCCAGTGTAAATATGAGTTTTGCTGCGGTTGTGGCAAGGCTTTTATGATGGGAGCAAAATGTGCGGTCAGCCCTTATTGCGCTAAACTGGGCCTGCACGCCCATCATCCACGCAACTGCCTCTTCTACCTTCGTGATAAGGAACCGGCGCAGTTGCAGCAGTTGCTCAGAGAAAACGGCATCAATTATGACACCGAAGGTCCCGTCGGACAACGCAAATGCAAGGTGCAACTGCAGAAAGAAACGCCGACCGGGGTCGTGGATGCTGTATGCAATTCCGATGTTGTCGAGGGCCACGCTGGTTTGTGCAGGTAAGCTCCATCACAGTGAACTCGATACTCGCTACAAATTTGTTTATAAAATTTAAAATTGAGATGACAGAGTATAAAGCTAAAAGATAAAATTTTGAAATCTGTTTTAAAAAACTTTATCATTATCCATTTCAATTATAAATGATAATAGGTTGCTAATAACAGCTCTGACAGAAAAATTCAATTAAGATTATAAATATTATAATATGTATTTCTTTCTTTCCTAAATATAACCGAGAAATTATTTATAGAAATAGTTTCACGTGTCAATTAAAGTTACTTCGGTAATTCTTCGAAATCAAAACTTTGAGTCTTGATAGAGAAGATTCTAAATAGTATACGATATCCATGACGTGTTCGTCGATCGGCTTTAGAATTTCAGGTTGCGTTTAAAAACTTTTCTCGGATGCATCGAAGTATCATTTTATCCTTGTTTAATATTCGATGAACAACAAAAGACGAAAATGGTATATGTCTGAATTCTTGAACGCATCCTCACTCACGAGTATATTATTGGGAATACTTATTGGTCCCAATCTTGCGGCGATTCCAGGCATTTTTTTCGAGAGATCTCGCAGCGAAGCCGCCACCTTTTCCTATCCCGTTCTTATTTCTCCTCCCAGTCGATCGCTAACGAGATCCTCCGTGTATCTCAGGATTCATTACGTCGAGTATCTAGTTCGAAAGATCCGTTTGACGCAGCTGGAACCGCTGCCCTTACTAAACGTGGATGATCTCGAAACGTGCGTGCGACGCGCCGGGCTGAAACTGCCCGCGAACTGGTACGGGCGCGACCCGGAGCATTACAGGAACGATCTGGTTAAGGTAAACGCAAGCGGGGAACCGCATGTCGTGGGCCTGACTAAAATCTTGGGTACTTTTCCCCCGCAGGCAGCACTACATTGAATACTTGGCGGGCCTGGTGCTCAAGGGCAGGCTGGATCCCGTGGCAATCTTTGACTTGAACGACGCCAAGCAAGAGTTGCGCCGACGGGGAAAAGTTCCCCCTGCGAAGGACCAGGAAATGTCCGAGCGGGATTACCTCAAGGCTTGCATTCAGGTGACTAACACGATTCCTCCGTGTCCTCTTGGTCCTCCTCTTCCTCCTCCGCCGCTGCTGCCAGTCTGTTCCTCCAGTTCTTTCGGTTCCTCCTCGCATCTCCTGCCGTGACCCACTGACCGAATTAACATAGCAGTTGCATGAAAGTAGAATTCCTGCGTGCACGAGACATTCGTAAAGTGAATTCGACAAAATCATAAAAGTGAATAAATCGCCACAAACCACTATCGAACAACCGTATCTCGTATCGCTGATGTTTTGCAGTATTATTCACACTTATAATTCTTTCCGAGCACACTATGAAGGATAGATGAACAGAAGAATCAACGAGAATATATATTCTAAATGAAATTCAATTTATAATTTATATAATGTGCGAAATTGTTCTCTATATTTAAAAAAAATTCTTTCCTATTCTATTCTTTTATAGAATAAAATTTCATTTTAGTCAGTCTGCTGAAATTAAAAAATTAAAGAAAAATATAATTTATAATAGGAATTAAAATGCATTATAGCAGACGTTTTATATTCGGAATTTAATTAATTAATTCAACGTCGATCACAAATGTATATAGAAGCATAATTAGAAGATAATTATAAAATAAAATAATGGATTAATATGTAATTAAAGGAATTATAAAATAATAGATAATTATATAGTTAAAGAAATGTTTTAACGAAATCTTATCTTAACGTTAGGTATTTAAATTCGTAATATCAATTCTAGTTAACTGATCTATTTTTCTGTATGTATAGATTTTAGGCGGAATTTCAAAATAATGTATTAATGAATCGCATTAACAATTCAATTACATTTTTGCATAGTTCTACATAAAAATATTTCAGATTAGTAATCTGATAAAATACGATATCTGATCAAGTATACATTACGAATTCAGAATTATTTAAATGTATGGATAAAGCTAATACATTTTATTCATTTGTCAATTTTTGATAATTCTTATTCTAAAAATTAAAAAAATTCTATTGGATATGCTGCCTATATGCGCTATTTAAAGCGAAATAAAAATTTAATGTCCAATATTGTGGATCCGCGCGGCTATTCGCAACTTCCCACTGCGTAAATAACGATTTCCCTATCCTGTGTGAGTTGCCTTTTTTATGCGGATATCGAAGTAAATAAGATACGAGCGAGGTATGTGCTGCGGGAATACATTAAAATTCTACAACTTCGCCGTGCATAAAGTATCCTCCGATGTTGCAGGTCGTAAAGCAGGAGATTCCACTGGAGTGACTGCGGAGAATCTCGAAAAAAAAAACGGACGCGCGTATCCGAAGCCATAAGTGACAAATCGTATATTGTATAGTGTATCTATTTTATTTGCATGGACCACAAGCCCACAAAGTGAAAATAACGTAGGACCACAGCGAAAATAAAGGAACAGAAGTAGTGCAATACGAACGTCACTTAGTTATAATGCCAAAAACTTGTTTACCTTTCGATGTGACGTGATTTATATGTTAATTCAACGTCTCATTCGGAAACATTCAGCGAGAAGAAATAGTGTTCATCTCTACATGTTCTACTTGTTAACAACTGAAGATGTGGATCGATACAAGCAACGTTTCTTTACTTCTTGATAAAATAAAGTAATTGTTAATGGGAGTTATATTGTATAATTGTTTGAAAATATTTATTTCTGCTTTATATTACTGTTTTTTAAGAAATAGACAATTTAGTTTAAAAACGTATTCATGATTTCTTTCTAATCTTAATTAGTAAGAACTATATTTATATACAATCGTTATTTAAATCTTGTCTTAAAAATATTCTTATTATAAAATAAGATATTTATAATAAAGATTTATATTTTGAGTTGCAAACAAAGTTAAACAATAGTTATCTTTAAATTAGAGAATAAAATTAGCTCCTTAGCTTAGCAACTTGGAAAAGCCTCATAAGAATTATATTAATAATGCAAAATGTGTTGTTTTAAGAATGATACCCACTTACATCCACTTCCATATGCTAATATCTTAAAGATAGAGGTATGGCTCTAAATTCAAAATTTTAATTATACTTCTAATAATTAAATTCAGATACTTATTTTATTCTTTTTATTAAAAAATGTTATTATCCATTATTATACGGATATTTACAATATATACATATGTATCTACATTTTCAACATAAGTCGGCTAGAAAACTATGCAAGTTATTTGTTTTTGAAGGTGTTTTATTGTCCATAATACGTTTTAATCGCTCTATATTCAACTTCTTAGATTTTTTAGGGGAAATAGATTTCTTGTTACTTGAAATTATTTTAGGTGTGATCACAGGTGATATTGTAGGCGTTACATTATTGTTTTTCTTGTTCAATTGTAATACAGGCGTACAACCTGAGATATTTAAACCAGCAGTTTTGTCCTTAGATTTCTTTTTTTTCTTTTTACGGTTACTTTGCGGTGTTTCCATTTGTGAATTATTCAACTTTACTGGCTTTAAGTGACTTTTCTTCTTGAGTGGCAACTCAGTGTTCTTGGAACAGACAGAACATTTAATGACCAATCTATTCATCTCATTTTTTATAGATTTCTGTGCTAAGGTTGCACGAATTTTTGGAATCTTTTGATCTGGATTTTCCTTTATGTATCGTACAATCTTTTTCACTGATTTAGACATTTTTCTGCCTCTTGCTATCCGAACTTGATGATCCATTGTACCCCAAAGTGACCCACAATGCGAACATGCTGTTGATGGTCCAAAATTCTGCTGTGGCAACTCTATACTGTTACTAAAATTTTTACATTTCTGCCTGAAAACATTTTAATAAATATTAAAAGGAATTCTTTTATATAAATTCACTGACAATATATGTGAGTATAATAGTACAATTTGTTTCTCTCCAGATTATTTAAATTTATTATCAAAATATAATGATAAATTTATTTTTAACAAAATTATTTTAATTCCTACACGACTCAAATAATATTTAATGATAATCGAGCAATAATGTTAAAATTTTTATCACAGAGATTTAATATTTCTTTGTATTTATACATAACTATATTTATATATTATAAATAATGTAAATAAAAAGCATGCAGGAAATTACATGTAAAACATCTGTAAATCTGTAACCAATGGACACTTCAGCTTCGTTATGAATTGATTGACATTCCATAAATGTTTAATGGTCTCCATAATTGTTATGAAATGTTGAGATATATATTTTTTCCTGTTTACACGCTGATTAGTCTGATCACATGTAACTCCGGCAAAACAATCGTGAGGTTCGCAGTGGTCCCCGTGATTCCCTTTAACATTGGTCGAAAAGAAGACACGATTGCCTCGTTAACCCTTCCACCGTTTTAACAATCAGCGTAAATTAAATTGAACTTGAGGGTACTTTGCTTTATAAAAGAATTGTCCGTGCCTCGTCTCATAACTAATCTCGATGTGCACGCTCCGTTCTATCAGAGAAAAAAATCACAAGGAGTCATCCCATGTTTTTGTTAGGGACCGTTGAAATCGCCAGTACACTAACGCCAGTACATTTATTTTCAATTTGAGAACTACGTAACGTCGTACTGACGATAAAATCGCAGCGTCGAAAGTAGATGTGATGCGAGTCGTGTTGAAATGAATATGTATAGATGCGAGTTTGTGACACAAACATAAAAACAGATTAAAACTCACAAATTTGGATGTAGCACGGATCGACATCTGTCCATTTTTGACACCGCGATTTAACACAGACTCGCACCACATCTTTTCGACACGATATTATCGACAATTTCGCAAAATAAACGTAGTACTTAGTTCCTATATCGCAAAAAAGAATGTTGGTGCGCTGATGTAAACATTACACAAAAAAGGCCGGGATGGCTGGTGCTTTCAAGTTTCTCTGCTCCGATATCGACTCCGACATGATCCGACGCAATGCAGCCAACGTCAGGAAAAACGAAAATGTCTGCGGCGTTCCGAAACTCATCTAACCTTATCCTACAGTCGTTTGTTTCTCGGCCGCGCCTCCTGCACGATTTTAGAGCAAATTTGATCTACCGTCTCTCTCCCGCCAATTCCAAGCGGTACATTTATCCCGCTTCGAGTGCGGACAGTGCGAATTTTCGTTCTCTCGAGCAGACGAGACCCATGAGGAGGATCGCGATTTCTCCTCTGTATTCGCGCGATACATTGTGAACGATACGGGGGTGGCGGGGGGAATTCGTATTTTGTCATCCTTGTCATCGATGCACCGGGAGCTGTTCTGTCAAACAATAGAAACGAATCGTGTCCGTCGTGCCGTGGTAGTGAGTTGTTCCCATCGTCGTTCGACATGGGAGACGGCAAGGAGGGCGAGCGGCAGCCGCTGCTGAAGAATGAGAACGTCACGTACAGCTCGCACAGCAACGATGCGATCGGCGGTACGGTAACACCGCGGGTCTCGCGTTCCGTTCACACGCGAGAACGCGTTCGCGTCCGAGAATCGCCGCCAAGAGGATGTCATTATCTTGTTTGTCATTGCAGACGAAACACAGTCCAATGTGCACACCGTCTCTACGATTGGCCCGGATGAGCTGCCACCGCCGTATCAGTCCGCCATCCAGGGTGGCATGCCAATGGTCACTTGCAGAGTTTGTCAAGCGATGATAGATATTTCCGGAAAGAGGGATCAGCACGTCGTTAAGTGCTGTCAATGTAACGAGGCCACAGTACGTTTCCAAAGATCATTTCTTGTTTATAGTTTGTTTACTAGTAGGTGACAATGTTAATGTCATGAGTCTCCATTGTCTACTTTTCTTGCGTAGCCTATACGTAATGCTCCACCTGGAAAGAAGTATGTACGATGTCCGTGCAATTGTCTACTCATATGCAAGAGTTCTTCGCAGCGTATTGCCTGTCCCAGGCCAAATTGTAAACGTATTATTAATCTTGCTCCAAGCCCTATTACACCTCCAGTTCTATCCATGCCAGGCATGTGCAGGGTAGGCTGTGCCCATTGCCATGACACATTCTTGGTGAGTCATTAGAGACATGGTATATTAAATCTATAATGTGTTTGTTTTTGGTTATTTTTACATCTTGTTTTTTCCCTCTGCAATCATTTTATCGACAATCGTGTATTTTCTCAAGTTTCTTGTCTTTTTTAAAATTCATCTCATGCGACAAAAAAAAGAAACAAATAAGAGGCAAAAAGGAAAGAGGTAAAAATACGAAAAACAAGAAGCAAAGTACATTGTAGATTAGACTTTAAAGTTATTAGCCATGTTTAACAGGTACAACAGTTGTGTAAACATTCAGTAATTATTATCTGTAATTGGAATAGATTTTTAGATTCATGATAAACTTAGAACAATATACAAATAGCAACGAGTACTTACTCAACTGTGTCCGCTGAATGCGCCCATTGTTTCACTCAACAAATTGTCTTCCACAGTTTAACACATTAAATAACGCTTTGGCTCGATGTCCACATTGCCGTAAAATATCTTCCGTTGGTCCAGACTTTGCCAGAGGAAGAGGAATTGTATTCATTATCGTTGGGATTATAGCCTTAATAATTGCTATAGCCGTAACAGTCAGTATACAAATTTGAATTCTTTGTATCTAGTGTGATCTTTATCATATTTATTTTATGTTGTATATAATTACAGGTTGGAACCTATAAATATGTAAAAACAAATGGTGGAATTTATGTAGCTTATGTTGGTAAGGACATATAAACATTATTTTAAATCTTGTCTCCACAATGCTAGAAACGCTCCGAGATCTCAAATAAAGAAGAATTAACTAATCGCATTGGCCAAATTGTTCTAATATGATTTGTTGATATTTTCTCCAAGATCTCGGAGTGAGCTTTCTATCATGGACATAAGTTTTAGATTTCGAAATTTATCGATAATTTTATAATTCTTAATATTCAAACGCTATTGCAAAAGTCCGTTCATCACATTTTGAATCATGTTTCCAGGTGCATTTCTATTGGCGCTTTTATGCTTGGGCCGCAGCATTTATTACTGTACGATGAAGATCAGTTTGATAGAGGGTCCTATGTAGTCTCCCAAACAACAGTGAACAAACAATACAAAATCAATTCCACTGAGATGAATGTCATTTAACCTATTTAGAACAAATGTTTATAGTAATGTGACATTTAAAATCCTTTTAAGGCAAGAACGATATATATATATATATATATACATACATATATATATGGCCATATGTGCGTATGCAGATCTATATTGTTTATGATAATGCATGTATACATTCTTATATATAATATGCATACACATATGAACATGTTTCGTGATCGGGAAGAAAGCAAATGTTTATTTACGCGATGTTTTCTTCAGATAAGATAATGATCGTAGGAAATCTTTCTCGGAAGCCCATATTTTATGAAAAATTGTTCCTGTGCACTTTTATATGTACAAGCATAGGAGCAATAGCTATGGGCTCCGAGTTTTATTTTCAACCTACTGAGTAGAGAATGCGCTCTATATATGTGTATATATATATATATATAATTCCAAATGTACGTATAAGTTTTAAAAACCCATATATCTATACGAATCTGTTTTTAAATTTATTTCTTACATTATATAAAAAACATGTGTATTGAATACATTAAAAAGATTATATTGTTTCAAATAAATTTCTGGATTTATATGGACTTTGTAGCACACGTGAATGCAATTACGAGGGAGATAAAAGTATCAATGTATATATTAATATTATAAATAACGCACTTAGGAAATATAAATCCAAATACGTGATTATATATTATATGAAGAATGCGAGATGTTTTTTTTAGTTTTCACTGTCATAAAATACACTTCATCGATTACGAAAATTAAAATATTCCCATTGACGATTTTCGACGATATACTCCTTATAATCTGCAATGCTCTTTTAAAAATATATTTCTTCTTTCTACACAACTCTTACTCAATTCTATATAAGTTTCCTTTATCATATAATAAAAGATATGTTATACTTGTTAAAAAAATAAATTCCGTTTGGTAAAAAATTAACAGTTGCATTTATTACACATTATATGAATAAACTTATCGATCCGAGAAAAATAAGTAATTATTTAATTGCCATATGAAACATTTTGTGAGTATATATGCGATATACAGAAGAATCATTATTCAAGCATAACAAATAAATAATTATAAAATAGACCGACAGTATTATATGGAATATTATATAATTTGTACTTTCGATTATAGAATCAAATCAACCCACATCCTCCTAATTGTAATCATATTTAATTGATTGAATTGTAGGATAAACAGCTTTACGAATTGGTATTTAGATTTGGAACATTTAAAATTCCCGCTGAGAGACGTGAATGAAAAAAAAATCCCTAGTACCAGTCACGCTACTGCGGAACAGCTGATTGCTGAAAGTAGCGAAAAGGAAAATCCGCATCGATAGGGAGGTTACTGAAAAGTATGTGAGAGAAAGGGTCACAAATAATAATCGTGTCACTGTCTGGAGATACTTGACTTAACATTTTAGACATTAACAAGGAAACACGAACGACGAGTACTGTACCTTCAAATGTGACAGATGTTTGTTGTAAGAGATGTCACAAATTGATATTCAGGATTTATTTAACAAAAGCAGGTAAGACAATCTGTTATGACAATATTGCAAAGAATCTGTTGGTCACAGCTATTGTTATTCAAATGCATTACTTTTGTTGCAAACATTGATTGAAAACCACAAGAATGTGAGAGATTTTCTTGCAAGTGAAAAATAGTTGTTCTTTGTCATATGGAGTATTCACTGTAAAAGATGTTCAGACAGAATAAAAACTGATTACTTTTCGCTATAATTATCATTCAAACTTAAAGCATTAAAGTTTAATCAATTACGTTATGAATTTAGGTTTCCCAGCGGTTGGCGCCTTCTACTTGTAATCTTATATACGCCAATAGGATTTGTACTTGTGTTGCTGCGACTGTTAGTGGTATTGCTGTCCTGGCTTCTAGCATCGGTACTACCAGATTGCAATTCTCTTCGAACATTTTTAAGTTATGGCATTAGAATTGCTTTTGGTATCGTAGTTAAAATTGATACCGAGAGTGAACCCAGAGACAAGCAATCAAGGATAATAATCGCCAATAGTGTATCAGTTCTGGATCACTTCGCTCTACGTCGTATGACGGAGACAGTAATCCCTAGTGTTTGGGAGCCACCTACTGCCTTGAGTAACGCGCTGGGAATCCAGAAAATGAATATGAGCAATAAGGAAACATTAATTGCCAACATAAAGCAATTTCTCTCCACTTCCACATATAGTGTGTCTGTGCAGCCTGAATTTGGCACAACTAACAATCAAGTCGCTCTGTTGAAATTTAATTCCTGGCCGTTCAGTATAGAAACATCTGTCCAACCAGTTGCCATCAAAGCGTCAAGATCAGAACTTGTACCTGTGCAGCTTACCTCATTGGCTTCAACAAGGTTGACAGAAGCATTTTGGTTTATGTTTGTGCCCTATACAATTTTCACACTCAAGTACCTGAAAATCAGACGAAACTCTGATCATGAGATACTTGTGCGAGATGTGGAAAAAGATATCGCGGATGCTCTGAGACTTCAGACATGT